TGGAGTATTAATGACTTTGAAGATCAACCTCGCTCGCACAAAGCAAGAGAATGTTTCTACTATTGTTATGTCACATAAACATATCTTTGTCAAATTGATTACGGATTACATTAAAAAAACCGCTGCGATTTGTATGACTTATCCGAGTGCGTTCACAAAATACCAAGATGAATTTTTAATTTATGAACATATATCATGCAATGTGTTGAATCAATTTAAAGCTATCGTTGAATATATTGATTATTTAAAAGTATTGATCTCAACGTATGTAATCGATAAAAATGTATTCAAGCAAAATCTTCAAATTTTCGATATGTTAGAACAAAGCCAAATTATCGTCGAGAAAGATAAAGAATGTGTTACAAAGTTGAAAATGTATTTTTTACTTTTACGAGCATTCGATGGACAAACAAATGTTTTCAATGATATTGTCAATCTCTTACCGAGATTTCAAAAGATAGGTATCAATACTTTATGGCTTAGTCCACCTCAACCACAAACAGCAGCAGCTCCTCCTATGTTTGCTTTAAATGATCATGGATATTGGCCAAGTGATCATGGAAAAATTGATCCTATTTTAGGTGGAGAAATTGCATTCGAACACTTAATTAAAGAAGCACATAGATATGGAATTGAAATTGCTATTGATGCAGTTCTTAACCATTTCGGTTATGCTGATGAAGTGATTTTAAATGGTGAAAAAATTTTCACTTCAAATCCGAATTATTTTGTAATTATTCCTAATATTCAATCAACATATAATCGTCACAATGAATTAAATTGGAAAATTGAAGAAAGTTTAGATGTAGAAAATATTCTACAATATCGTGAAGAATTATCTCAATATCCATTATTCGATTTACCAACACTTCGTAAAGATAATTCCCACATTCGAACTTATTTATTGGATAGTTATAAGAAATTTATTGATATGAAAATTACAACGTTTAGAATTGATGCTGCAAAACATATGCCTGCTGAATTTCTCATCGACTTTTCTGATCAACTAAATAATTATTCATTGATGCAATGGAATCGTCCAATTAAATTTATTTGGGAAGTTTATATATGTAATTCTCATGCTCTTTCAAAATTCATACAAGGAACTCTTGAAAGTCTTAAAGATTCATCCAATACATTTTTCTATGATTTCCCAATGCGTCAGGAATTTAAACGAATTCAAGATTCGAATTATCGATTTGAATGGCTTGTTAGTTTTATTCAACATCGTGAACAAACTCAACAATATCTCAATCATCTAATTCCTTTAGTTGAAGATCATGATGATGGTTTGCCCATCAATAATCCTTCCATTGCTCGAATGATATATGTATTGACTGAATTCTATAGTCGAAACTCAACATTTATCTATCATGGTTCTGAACAAACAGGAATTCGGACAGTTAATCGACCACGAATCAATACGATTAATGAATTTGGTGATATCGCACTTTTAGTTGATCGACTTGGACATCAATTATTGTCTTATCGAATTTGTCAAGAAACACAAACACTATTTCATGTGATTGAACAAGATTTTCTTATCAGTGAAAAACAGTTAACAAATAAACGATCTATATTTTTGGCTATGAATAAAAGTTCAATTTCACGAACGATTGAACTTTCTCTGCAAGATTTATATGGTAAAAGTCAAATAACAATTGAAAATATTCTGGAAGCTAATGATTCAAAAGCTGAACTTATTTCTTCTTCCAAAATACTTCGACTGACAGTTTCACCGTTCAATTTCTTAATTATTGAAACTCAACCAGTCGTGCAGTAGTTTGTAAATAAAAATACATCTCATCATATCATAGTAATTCCAGGACGAATATGTGTGCACATGAATTGCAATGTTACATAGATAATACTTCGATCTGAATTCATCCTCTTGTGGGTATAAATAAAACACACCCATACCCACACCCTATAATAATTTTTGTATTCATAGAGAAATTCAACATCATTAGAAGATTTTTATTTCAAAAACTTTGATCTATCGTTTAAATAATTTTTTTTCCATAATAAAAAATGGTGTTTCAAAAAAAATCGAAACTAAAACAGCTGTAGTATAACTAAAAAATATATGTGAAATAAAGTTATTTATCGCAAGATATCCTTGATAGTAGAAAGGCATAGTTTGATTGAATATAATAATATGAAGTATTGTAGAATGAACTAAATAACATGAATAATTAATTCGAGCTAATGAAGTCCAAATAGGCCAGGAAAGAATTTGAGTTACTATCCCATCTTGATTTATACTGCAGATAAATAAAAGCCACCCAATACCAATTGACCAGAGTGTTCGTGAAAGTGACATATAGACAACAGTGATTGATCGACTTAGACCAGATACGCGAATGCTATCAGAATTAGTCACCAAAAGCCACATAAAACCAATGACAATAATTAGAATAGTCACAATAATTTTATTGCGTCTATTAATATGATATTCACGACCAGTAATTATAACAATATATCCAGTTAGAAGTCCGACAGCGTATGCAGATATACGACACCATGGTTTAATATAAATATTATTATAGAAACTGGGACCATCCTATAACAAAAAAGATAATAGGGATGATCAACATTGTTCACTAAGAAAAACTTACATTATTAGTTTCAGTAGTTAGAGTATTGAGTATCATATTTGGATAATAAAGAAGAATAGTTAAAATTGATCCAATTCCAATCAAAACAAAAACTATAGCAACTACAAATGATAAAGTTCTTCTTCCAAGTGCAAATGGAATTAAAGTTAATGGTGCAATCCAATGAAATTGCATATCATTATGTAGATACCATGCAATATTTAAACACATCTCATCCGGTCGTACTATATTACCTACATAAAGAATCGATGTCCACCATGATCGTGTACGACAACCTTTCGATTCAAATCCTTGTTCAATAGGATATATTGGTCCTTGTCCAAAATAGGGTGTTAAATTTATACTAACTAGAATCATTAGAAGAAATGCTGGTGTTAATCGAATATATCGATGAATATAATAAAGATACATTAAACGAACTGAAAGTTTTCCTTCTTTTTTCACTTGACGAATAAATAAAATTGCCGTTAAGAAACCACTTAGAACAAAAAATGTATCAACACTACAATGAGCACTTAAGATTAATTGAAATGCGAAAGTACGTGACGAAACGAGAATATCTATTATATTACTTGTATAACATAAATTAAAAAGTAATGAATGACCAATAATGATCCAACATAAAGATAATACTCGAATACCATTAATAAATAAAAATGAATCATTTGTATCATCATTAGTTTTCTGTTCCAATGTAAATATTCGACGAAGTGATTTTAATGCAGAAAATTCAGCTAAAAATAGTATCTTCGATATTCGATGTGTTTCAGACTGAGTAGTTATTTCATTATCATCATCCACTAAATAATTATATGTATTATTAGATATTATTCGATTATGAACTATATTAAATTTCAACATGGAAATAAAATCAATGATTGTTCCAACAAGAACAAGTAAACCTAAAAGTGAAAGAATAACAATCGTTGCTATTGCTCCATTTGTAAGATCTTTTTGTCCATTTGGTAGATCATTCGAACAAACAAGATTTTCTTGAGTAATACTAAGGTTTTTGAAAAGTGTATGAATCAAAGAAACAAGTGTTTGTCGATCACATGATGATGGAACACAAAGACCAAGAACAAGAGATGCCATGGAGCTTGATCTGGATTGAGATGCTGTTGGTGTAAGAGTACCTAAAATAGACGTTTAAATGTATTGTACAATACGACGAATATATATATATACAATGTTGTGTATTGAATGGTTGGGATACGAAAGATTGATTTGCTGGATTATATATAGGCTGTATACATTCATCGTAGTTACCTATCCAATACATGTTACCTTTGAGAATACCAGAAGGTAATGGTTTTCCCCAAGCATCGAGTATTTTGAGTGCCCACATCTCTTTTTCTACTGCTGCTCGAAGAATTAATTCGATATCTTGTTCACACGGGCTAGTATTGTTATTCGATAATAATAAAGACATATGTTCTAGCATTTGTTTAGGTGTAGGATTGTATTCTACATCTTTAAGCAGATCAATGGGTGAGAAATATTGATATTGACGTAAACGATTAATTGCTAAATCAAATTGTGGTGGAATAAATTGAGAATTTATATTCCATAGCACAGAAAATAACAGAAATAATGTAATAGTCAACATCGTAATTTTGTTATAAACTCTTGACTAGAACGTTATATTATATATACAATAATAGCAGTGCTGGTTCAGATGGTATGAAAACAAAACGACATTTTTACCATTTGTATAAATGATCGATACTTGTTTCTTTTCTTTAGAAAATAATCTGATCATGTGTTGCTGTTGTGCGCACTTTAAGTTCACGCGCACTTTGAGTATGCACGCACTTTTGTAACGGAAAGAGACAGAAAGAAAGAAAAGTGCGTATATGAATCATAGTCGATTTCAACTAGGTATCTCATTTATGAAACTAAAACGTTCGAAATACTCAAGAATACTCGTTGAATATTAAAAATAACAAAACTTTGTGAAGGAAAAAGATTGTTCAGTAATTCTTTATCTTATCTTAAATTAGAAATACATAACAACATTGCTTTTCATTCAGATTTTTCTTCTATATTATTAAAATAACGAATCAAATGATAATTTTGTTCAGGATGTGCGTGTGAATATTAAGAAAGCCACACTACTGACGTACTGTCGCACATGCGTCCTCGCCATGCGTACTATTTTAATAAGTATGAGTCATCCATCTCCTTTTTAAAACCAACAAACGTTATGGCATGTATTTTTGAAAGATTGAAAAAACAAAATTTAGCTACTAAAAAAACATTTTCTTGCATTCTATTGTTTTACTCTTGTCAACAATATACAGTCTATAATGAACAAAAGCATCACAACAAGTAGATATATGACCAGTTACATTATAGTCAAACAACTATTCTAATCGAATATTATGAAATGCATAATACTGATTTGATAATTGGCAGTAATTCATCTGTATTGTCTGGTGATAATACTCGTAATATATTATTTTGTATTTCTTCCTGAACTGTTTGCAATGAGATGATATCATTAATAAGTTCACTAAATAAACTAATTGCTTTTTCATATCCATACACTGTTTCCATATATTTCCATAATAATTCTGTGTAATAATTATGTGCACGATATACAGACATTGTATCATTAAGTATTTTTTCATCTTGAGGATTTGTTGTTGAAATTCCTTTTGTAAACATAAGTACAA